ACCCAGGGGGGTAGGGCGAGGGGTAACCGCCCCTCCCCCCCCCCCGAAGGGAGAAAGGGAGGTTGCAAGAGGAAACGCGCTAGACCACCTGCGCCTCGAGCGCGGGTGGATGTTGTTGGAAGGCATCCTTGGGATGCTCCAAGAATGGTCGGCGTCAGACTGATCGAACCCGGGCTACGCTGCGCCATATTGGTAGCCATCTGGGACCATACGGCGTTATCTTAGAGTCATTTCGGGCCATCTTCGACGCTCTAACGCGTGGCGCTGCCCCGCTCCGCCCAAATCCAGGGGAAGATCTCATTCCCCAAACCACCTAGTGTGACCATCGGCTCTACAGCTTCTTTTGCCCAGCGCGAGTAAGAACATACCTTGCGTCGCGCAACCCGCCAGTAGTAGCTGCGTCGTGGTCGACGCCATGGCCACCCTGTTCTCGGCGGTGCTTGTCGTGCTCGGAAGCGCGCTTGGAGCTACTGCTGCCCCTGGCCAACACTCTGGCAAGTTCAACGGCAGGGCTGGTGCACGGGCCCAGCGCCCAGACGAGCTGCCCTTCATGGAGACCGGGGCCGTGCGCTTGGCCTACCAGCTCATGGACAGCCTGAACCCGTTCCCTGTTGATGTCGTGCACGCTTCATCTCCACTTGCGTGGAGCGTGGCTGGCGCGGTTGGCAGAGCCACTTCGCTGCACCCATCTTGCGTTTACGTTCACTTGGTAATCCTCATGTCCCTTGTCTTGGACGCGGTGCAGGTCAAGTACGGGGGGATCTTGGGCAAGTTTTCGAACCCTCTGATGATTCAACACGGCGCGCCAGGGGACGGGAAGTCGATCGCGTTGTGGCTCGTTTTCCAAGTCCTCGCGTACTTCGACAAGATCCGCAACAAAGTCGCAAAGGCAGCCTACGATCAAAAAGTGAGAGACAAGAAAGACAAGAGGAGGCAAGGCCAGGGTCAGGCTGCCGAGGAGGAGGACTCCGCAGATGAAGATCAGAAGCTGACGCCGCCCGCCGACGTGGATTCGATTTTCAACAAAGGCACGTTCATCGGTTTAGGGCAGTTCCTGAAGGGGCACGGCGGAGTAGCTTACTTCGGGCTTCACGAGGGCAAGACGTTCATGACGGATCTCTTCGCGAGCGGCCCCGGCGGCGGCGTGGAGGACTTGAACCAGATCATGGACCACGACTTGTACAAGAATCACCCAGCGAACAACCAGTCCAAGTTCAACGTGCGCAACGTGCACGTGGTCGGCTCCGTCCTCATGCACCTGGAGGAGGTGGAACGCCAGGCCCGCCAGTCGGACTCGGTGGCAGGCCTTTCGCGGTTCTTGGTCGGGAAATTCCCCGTGGTGGTCCACAAAATCATGCCGGACCTCAACCCCGCGGAGGTCGAGCAGCTGCTCCAGGACGACCCGGATTACTTCAACAGCATGAACTACGACGACGTCGTCGGCGGCCTCGCTAATATTTTGTTCGCGGGGCGCCAGCTGTTCCAGAAAGACGCCCCCCCGTCGGTGCCGGCCACGGACGTGAAGAAAGTTTATTCGAAGATCACTGGTCTCCACACTCTGCCAATGAGCTCCGAGGTCCAGGAACACTTCCGCAAGTCGTACAACGATTCTGCCGACGCGATCCGGGACGACCTCGCCAACCTCGGTGGCCGGGCTTCCCAGCTGAGCAAGGACAAGACCAGGCCGCTCCAATTCATCGCGCCCGTGCATCTCCTGGAGAAGACCATCAACTTCTTGCTCTCGAAGGCAGGCAAGTCGGCGGAGGAAAAGAAAGACATGGACGGACAAGCCATTCTGGTAGCCCTCGCGTCCGTGGACTCGGAGTCCCTCTGCAAGACCGTGCCCACGAGGGATGCCATCCCACGGGGCGCCACGAAAGCTGCCGTAGACACCTCCGTTGCCTTGGCGGCTTGGTTCGCCCGGAACTTCAGCACGGCCGTGGGCGCTTCCCAGATGGTCAAGGCATTTCTCGCCGACCGCGCGCGACTCGCGGCCGTGCCAGCGCCTACCTTCGAGACGGCTGCGCAGATGCTGAGCGCAATCGTCGCGCCGCGCCTCGACCCAGCCAGCACGTTGGCGGAGATCGCGGAGAATCGCCTAAACATTGTCGCGTTCGCACAACGCCCTGCTGTGTCTGCCGACGACGTCCGCGCGAAGATCGTGGACATCCTCTTGCTCGCTTTCATGGGGTTCGTCCACGTGAAGGACGGTCGCTGCGCGGTGGCATCTTTCGCTATGAACGACGAGAGTTTCCTGCGCGCAGCGAACCGACTCCAGACCTGGTGCCCGGATGCCTCCTTCCCTCATGTAAGAGCATTGTGCCCGGAAGAGGGGCTCGGCCCGGTCGTCGTGAACGCCGACGCAGCGTCTGCCGCAGTGGCGGCGATGAAGAATTTGGTCGAGGGCACTGCGGTGGACGCGTCGGTGCACGCCGACATCTTCAGCACTTCCGCCGCCGAGGTCGCCCTGCCGGAGCCAGAGCCGCCTGCGACCCAGGCAGACAGGCACAGCCAGATTCAGCGCATCCTTCAGGGCGATGCCGCGGCGGCCGCTCACCCACACGGACTCGCGCAGGCAGGGCCGGCGGGGGAGCCGCCCGAGGGCGGGCCCGACCGCGAACGGGTTGCGAAGCGTCTTCAGATGCGGGAGGAAGCGCCCTTTGACTACCAGGGGCTGCGTGGCAACGTCTTGCTGGCTGGGAAGATTGGCGCGGCTGCGTGCGCCACGCAGTCCACCGACATTGCCGTCAACAAGCTCAAGGACATGTTCAAGAGCGACGGCACAGCGCCCGCCGTCGACAAGACCGCAACTCTGCTGCTCCAGTTCCTCCACGAGCTGGGGCTGGGGACACGCAGCAAAATGGGGAAATCAATCGTTGTGCTGGCCCCGCCAGAGCAGCGCATCGAGACGGTGGTGAAGCGCATTGCGTCCATGTTCAAGCTGAACGAGACGGAAGAAGCGCGGATGGTCGAAGCTATGTCGAGGCGCCCTGTCTGCCTTCGCTTCAACTTGGAGGCTTTCGACGCACTTGCCCGCAAGGTCGAGGAGGGCATTCCTGAGTGGGCCCCGAAGCCGCGCTAAATGTAAAGGCGCCATGGGAGATCGGCAGGTGGACGTTTCAATCGCCGCGTGCGCCCAGCGCCCAGCCTCCGGGAGCTTTGTCTCGGTGGCGGCTTCTCTTTTAGGTGCATGCCTATCTCTGTCTCTCTGTCTCTGTCTCTGTCTCTGTCTCTCTCTCTCTCTCTCCCCTTCACCTCCCTACATTTCCTTCCCTCTCCGTCTTCTTCCCTCCCTTGCTGCCGATGTTTGCGATTTTGAAGATTTGGTTGTTGGAGCCATTCGGGGATGCACGCGCGGCCTCCCCTCCTACCTCGATTCTCCCGCCTCCCCAGAATATGCCCCCGGGGCATCAGGTGGCAGCGCTGTTAGCCAGATACGCAGCCATCACATCAATGTTAAGCCTTTGCCCCGCGCCTTCATCATAAGGCGGCGCAGTATCTGCCTTTGCGTAGCCGCGCCGCTCCAGGCGTTAGGACCCAGCCTCCGAGAATGCCGCAGCCGCAGCTAGGGCACCAGTCGCTAAACCTCTTATGGTGAGGCCCTAGATAGTTGCTCCTTAGCCTGCCAGGCTGTACAGTCCAGGTCCACAGCTGCTCCCCACGAGCAGGGACCGCGCATCCCGCGGGGTGGGGGCCCCACCAGGCGGCCAAGAGCTGTCACACAATTCGCCCGTGCTGCTGCAGGCGTTCTCGCCCACATAGCAGCGGCGCCAGGCCGCCCGGCGGCCAGCAATTTTGGCTCTCCAACTAAATCCTTTCTCGGCTGGCTCATATACCGCCCTTCCCTGGCCGGTCGCTCTTTTGATCGGCCGGATACTTCTACCGTGCGCTTGGCCATTGGCTATTTCCAGCATTCGTTTGAGCACGTTGGGAAAACGTTATCTGTTTCTCCAATTGTACATTTTTCTCCTCCCTGGGGTGGATGCTTTACGATGGCCATGTCGGAGGCCATCGTAAAACATCTGGAGCCATCTTGGAACCCTCTTGGGCCAGAACTCTCCTCACCGTTGCCCCTCTTAAGCCCCCGAGGTCGCTGCTTGGAGCTCTCTTGGAGCGCTCTAGGGCGCTCTGGGGCCCTTGGGGTCATCTTGGAGCCGTCTTGGGCCCTCGTGGGGCCGTTGGGTCCTCTTGGGGCCATCATGAAGCCTTAGAAGGCCATCGGAAGCGACAACGCGAGAAGGCTAAACTCATGTGATTTCTTTTGTTGTTTACATGATTTGGGCTCCTCGCGTCCTAGGGAGGCCCCAATTCACTTTGGCTCGTCGTGGAGCGGTCCAGGAGCCTCTCGGAGCATGTTTGGAGCCAACTTGAGCCACCATGCACAATATGGAGCCATCTTGGAGACCATCTTGACATCTTTGAGACCCTCTGGGAGCCATCGTGGGCCAACAACCACCCCCTGACGCCTCGCGGCCCCCCTCCAGATCCCGGGGGGGGGGGGGGGCGCCCCCGATGGGGCAAGAAGGAGGTTGGAAGACGAAGCGCCCAAAACCACCTCCGCCCCAAGAAACTCCCAGGAGCCGCCCGAGACGGGCTACGAGGCTCCACTCTGCAATGCCTCCCGCCCTCCTGCTGCCCACTTCTCCTCACTCCTGCCTCTCCCCCCTTCCATTCTGTCGTCTCCGGGTTCTCAGATTCCGTCTTTTTCCCATCATTCTTGAACCTCTTCGGAAGGTCCCGGCACAACGTCAAACGGACAACACGGCAACCAACATGATGCTGCGCATTGTTTTTTCATTGTCTGTGTCTTCTTGCGCACCCCGCTCGTTCTTTTCTAAGGTCCGGACGTCGTGGCAATATCAGCTTCTGATTTGTAATATCGTGGCTCTCATCGTCTTTGCCATCCCCGTCCTGGCCCAATTAGGCTCAAGCATGCGAGGTCGTCCTCTCAGCTTCGCCTTCGGACATTGCTCGCATATTCCGACCGCGTCGGCTTCGCCATGGCCGGCGATCCAGGGGGGCACTTCTCCCTTGCTCGGATTCTGGAGCCTTTGCCTGTGCAGTGCACCGCGGCTTTCTGCGACGTGTTGGCGCACGTCGATGCCACCCTCGCCTTGCCTGTCCTGAAATGCGTCCTGTCCGAGCAGGGTTATGGACAGGTCGACGACACTGTGCTGGCAAACGTTCTTTGGAAGGTGCAAACATACTTGCCGAGCTTGGTGACCAACCGCTGCCAAACAGGCAAACTGGCAGCACGTTTGAAGGAAATGCAGGATGCGGCTCCAGATGTTACCCTTGTTCGCATTCCTGCTCGCCAAGGCGCGTGCCCGCACTGCGAGGGGATCTCCCTCTGCCCGTGCCCGGGCATCGACAAATGCGCCCGCGGCCGAAATTTGCCAATTTTGGAAGCCGAAGCCGCCCGCGCGGGAACGCCACCAGAGAGCAATGTTACCGTCCGGTATAAAATATATTCGTGGACCGCTGGCGTGCAGTACGCAGTGTTTGAAGAGAGCCGGTGCCCGAAGTGCTCGCGTTTCTTCTTGGGGGGATGGTCCTACAGAAAGAACGTTGGCGAGCGTGGTCAGCCGACGTTCGGTCGCTGCACAGATGTCAAGTTCGTGGGCAGTACGGTTGACGACCTGTACGTGGTCATCCCCCGGCAGCAGAGTTATTTTGCGGTGGAGACTCATTTCCTGCGTGCAGTCACAGACCAATTGGCGTTCAGCGGGGCCACCTTCACTTCCATAGTACACGTGTGGGCCCGGCAGCACCGCAGCGCGATCCAGGCCCGGTTGACTGTGGGAGATGATTTGACCCTTGTACATCACACCCACGACTGCCTTGAACTCGCGTGGTTCACGTGGCAGGCCACGCGTTTGGCCGGCGACGCAGCTAAGGAGCAGACGTGGTCTTTCGAACTGTCGCAATTTGATGCGACGTTAGTCCAGCTGCAGCCTGCATTCCGCATGGCCAACTTGAGAAGAATAGCTTCTCACGTGGCGTCGTGCCCGCGGTGCCAGCGTTTGCTCCTGGTCATCGGCGACGGGAAGCGCGGGGCTTGCCGCCACGTCTGCGCCGGCACTGACGGGTCCATCACCTATCCAGACGTGGGCGCCACGCTGTACACGGGGTGCCGGGCACACGTCGGCGGTAGGCGCCACCTGTGCCAGACATGTCGACCTTCTGGTAAAGAGCAGACTGGCCTAGTCCCCTAACTCCGGGTCCTACGAGCCGAGCTGGCGCCGGCCCCGGACGGCGGCTTCGGCTTGGAGACCCGCTACGTCGTCGAATGCAAGACCGTCGCCAGCGACGGGGAGCTCTTCGAATTCTCGCTCCCGCGTTCCGAAGTGCGGCAGGATCTCCTCGCGCAGTTCGAGATCGGCAGTCTCCTCCTTCGGAGCGACCCGCGACAGAAGTTGCAGAAGCCGCCCACGTGGAAGAGCAAATTGCAGAAGACGCTCTGGCATAAGGGTGCCCGCGGTTCCTGCGCCCCGCAGCCGCCGCGGAGCAGCGCCAGCGGCGGGCTCAAGAGGAGCGCGCCGCCGCGGGTCGCCGCGGGGCGCGGCGCGCGCAAGAGGCGCGCGATGGCGGATGGCCCCCGCGCGCCGGCATCCACTGGGCTCAGGAAGAGCGCGCCGCAGGGGGCCGCGGGGGCGCGCGGCAAGCGCCAAGGGCAGGCGAAGGCGAAGGCCGCCCCCGCGGGGGCAGCCGAGCCGCGCGGCCGGCGGCGGGGCAGCGCCGCGGCGCCCGCGCAGGCACTTGGGCGGGCGAAGCGCACGCCTAGCACTGCGGCCGCCGCTCGCCGCGACGCCGTCGGCTCCAATTGGCTCTACGCTGCCCGCGAGGTGCCGGTCGAGAAAACGTCCTGCGGCATCAGCAAAGAGAACGCGTCCGAGGCGCGGCGAAGGCGCTGCACGGGCGGTATCGTGACCGCCGTTCTCCAGTGCGGCTATCTGGCCGACTGGCAGGAATTGTGGCGAGGGGAAGGCATCGAGGTGATGTACTTGTTCTTCCTCCGGCTGTTCAAGTATCTTTCAGAGCTGAAGGCGGCGCTCCAAGTCATAGGATACGACAACGCGTGCCAGTTGCTCGCTTTCGCCAGGGCGAAGAGAGAGCTTCAGAAGCCGTGGTCCCAGGAGTTCGTGGATAAGGTGAAGATGATCTTGGACGGCTTCCACAAGGGCAACCATACGTGGTGCCTGAGCAATCTACCAGAGGTGGATCTCGACTCTGAGGATAATGCAGTGCTCATGGCGGGCAAGAACACGCAGGCTTGCGAGCAATTGAATTCCTGGATCAACGAGCGCACTGCGCCTGGGCGGGAGATGACTCCAGGCCACTTCGGCGTGTACTGGTGGGCTTTGTTCACGGAGCACAACGAGTGGCTGGTCCATCAGGCGGAGTGCAACCGCAGGAGGTACGCCTGCGGCAACATGAAGCACGACCCGGACGTCTCTCGGCCAAGCCGACCGACAGAGGGCACGACGGCGTAGATCGCTCGGGCGGGCCGGCGGCCCAGCCGAGAGACCGGTAATGCGCTCTGTGTACTCGCGGTACTGGTGCTGTGTACTTGCCAGCAAAACATGCCAGCCAACGTGGGCCCCTCGCAGCGACTTCTTTCAACCTTTGTAGTGAAATGCGTGCGGTGCAGGCTGAGTGGTGTTAGGTATGTGGGTTGGCTACGCGGTGCCATGTGTGTGGTGCACGCTGTGCGGTGTGAGCTATGAGGTGCAGTCTATGCGGTGCAAGCTGTGTGGTGAAATATATGTGCTATGTGCTGCGGTCTATGTAGATGGGCTATGCGGCCCACAAAATGAAGTGCACCCCATGCGGTGTAAGCTATGAGGTGCAAGCAATGCAGTGCAAGCCGTGTGGTGTAAGCTGTACGGGGGCAGCGATGTGGTACAATCTACGTGGTCTGAACTATGCGGTGCGATCTATATGGTGCGCACTATGCGACGTAATGTATGAGGTGCATAAGCTCTGCGGCACAGTGTGTGAGGTGCACACTCAGCGGTGATCTATGAGCTCTAACCTATGTGGCGCAAGGTGTGTGGTGCAAGGTATGCGGTGTGCGCTATGTGCTATGTGCTGCGAGCTATGTGGATTATCTATGCGGTCCACTCGACGTGGTGCAAACTATCGGCGCAAGCCGGGTGGTGTAAGATGTACTGTGCCATCCATGTAATAGAATCTACGTGGTGAAAATCATGCGGATCACCGGCTCGCCAGGGCGCTGGATCCGGACCGCCGAATCGCCGTCTCGCCGGATTGCCAGATCGCCGAGCGTCGGATCGCGAGATCGCCGGCTCACCGGATCGCCGGATCGCCGGATCACCGGATCACCGGATCACCGGATCACCGGATCACCGGATCACCGGATCACCGGATCACCGGATCACGGGATCACGGGATCACCGGATCACCGGATCACCGGATCACCGGATCACCGGATCACCGGATCACCGGATCACCGGATCACCGGATCACCGGATCACCGGATCACCGGATCGCCGGATCACCGGTCACCGGATCACCGGATCACCGGATCACCGGATCACCGGATCACCGGATCACCGGATCACCGGATCACCGGATCACCGGATCACCGGATCACCGGATCACCGGATCACCGGATCACCGGATCACCGGATCACCGGATCACCGGATCACCGGATCACCGGATCACCGGATCACCGGATCACCGGATCACCGGATCACCGGATCACCGGATCACCGGATCACCGGATCACCGGATCACCGGATCACCGGATCACCGGATCACCGGATCACCGGATCACCGGATCGCCGGATCATCGGATCACCGGATCACCGGATCACCGGCCTTGTGAAGTTTGTTTTGCACCCGCCTCGCCGCCTCCCTTTTCGCCTCTGGCCTCCGCGTTCCGCGGGTGACGGTGGCGCCGAGCACGATCAGGTGGTCCCTGGCACGCTCGGAGTCGGTATCTCCAGGCGGGCGGCCACTCGGCGGCGACCGTGCGGACCTCTGTGAAGCCACTGTTCGCTCTCGGCATGGTCACGCATGCCCAGGGCATGCCCCGCTCGCGCCACAGCCTGGCAGCGCCGACGATGTCGTGAAGGCTGCGACTCTCCCACGCGCGGTCGTCCACGCAGGGCTGGTGCGACGCCGGAAGGGGAGGCCGCTTTCACTTCTCACGGTGCCCCCAGCAGCACCGCACTGAGGCACATCGGGCTCCACGGATCCCCTTGGGGGATGCCCGTTCCGACATGCCGTGCCTGGGGGTGCACGCACCCGCCGAGGAGGAGGTGCCTGTGCTGCTCGCACTGCTGTTCACGATCGCACCCGGCATGCCAAGATATGCCGAGCAAGCCCAGCGCCCCCTGCACGAGGTGGGGGTACAGCATGCCGAGTGCGATGGGGGTGGTCCCACGACGTGCAATAGGCGCCCGTGGCGGCCTCGGCGGACAGCTGGGCGTCGTGCACCTCCTTCCCAGCCTTCGCGCCCTTCATGTCCTCGCCCCACCACAGGTCCAGCCACCTCTTGTAGCTGGGGGACTTGATCCCGGCGCTGGCCCACGATCGATACCAGGCGGAGCCCACTGAGATAGAGCGGAAGGCTTCCGCATCGAGGAAGCTATTTGTGACGTCCGCGCCCTTTTTTCGGGAGGTGCGTCTGTCGGAATCCCCGCCACGCGGCCAGCACTACCCCGAGCGCCTCGAAAGCTAAGCACAGGGATGCAAAGCTTTCAGCGTGGAACTTCGCAGGGAAGAGCTCGTCTCCTGCCCAGCCGTCCAGCCCAGCGGCCTTCCCGCGCTGCTCTTGCACCGCTCTCCAGACCGAGCCTCGGGCGAGGGGCTGCCAGGGCTGTTCCTGGAGGTGCGGGACCCACGCTCCGAGTCGGCGGCCGGTGGCGTCCCAAGTCTGGGACTTCACGATCCCAGACTTGGCGCCACCTGCGGGCCCAGAAGCTCGAATGCCTGCGCGCTTGCTGTGGAGACCACGTCACCCTCCCGGACCGCTGTGCCCTTCGGGATGTTGCCCCTGAGCCACCAGTAGGCTGCCTGATCGGAACTGCGCAGGCGGCGGCGCCAGCGTTCCAGCCATTCTTTTTCGTCGTCGGCCTCGCTGCGCGTCAGCGTGCCAGTAGCCATGGCGATGGCCGCCTCTGCTCGCCTCCGGCGGGCAAGTTGGGTGTCGGCTGCTCGCGTGCCTGCATCGAGGTCTGGCACCTGCCTCTGCAGCTTCTTGCGCAGGTCCCTCTCTGCAGGCGCCTCGCCCGTGAGTCTCCAGCCAGCTCAAGCGCCGCAGTTGGAGGGAGGGCCCCCGAGAGCCCCGAGACGGCCCAAGAGGGCCCTCCCGCGCGTCCCGCTGCCTTGGCACCGCTTGGATGTGCGCATGCGTTTCGGCAAGGACCATCGAGGGGCATGTTGGGCCATCCTGCGAAAACTGCACGCGTGGAGCCGAAAAGCGCACGGGGAACCAACGTCCGAGCGATGGCGAGCTGCGGTGCTTTCTCCTCGAAGGCAGAAAGCTGCATACACATAAACTTTCGAAGCTCCGCGCGGGTTTCTTGGATCGGCGCTGGGCCCCCCTGGCGGCGCTTCCGGCGCCGCCCCTGGCGCGCGGAGCGCGCCAGGAAGGGGAGCTCAGCGCAGGTCCACGAACTCCGCGCGGACCGTCAAAAGTTCATGTTCATGCCGTTCTTTGTCCCTCTGTCACCGGTGCTCCAGTGCCCCGCCCCCCCCTGCAGGCGTGTGCGATGACCTGCTGCGACGCGGGCCCTTTCTCGGATCTGGGTCGGGGAACTGCCCTTCGTGGCCGCGGCTCGCCGTGGCCGGGAGTGCCCCCTCGTTTCTGATTCGGTGGCGCTCCTGGTGGCGCGGCGGCCCCCCCGTGGCCCACCTCCCCCACGGTGCAAGAGTCCGTGGCTGCTCGCGCGGGCAGGCCGCGGTGGCCGGGAGGCGGGCGGGCTGGCTCCTCCCAGGGCCCACGGCACGGCAGGAGCCCCTGCTGCTCGGAGGCGTCGTCTCTGGGGCTCCCATGACCTGCTCGCACCACTCCGTGGCCATTCTGGCTCAAGCGCAGACTCCTGCACCTACACTGCTTCCTCTGTCCCAGGACCCTACAGGTCCCGTGGCTTACCCGCATACGCGAGTGGACCCGTGTTGTGTCATATCGACGCGAGCCCAGATGGCGACCTGGGCTTTGTGCTTTGCGGTGTTATTTCCTCACAGCATGCGCATCGCAGAGCGAGGTCGATGCACCTGAGTGGGTTGCCTTTGACAAGGTCGAGCTAAAGATCGTTCGCGGGCATACTGACATTGGTTTGTCGTACTTAAACGTGTACGTGAAGCACTTAGCACGAGCGGGGTTTGTTGTCGGAGGCCTGCTGGGCGAAGATGACCACAACGACATAAGCACGCCCGCGGTTGAGTGCACGCAGCAGCTGCGCCTGAAGAAGGGCGCGCGCCGGAGCAGCAGTGCCTCAACCGCAGAGGGATCTCTCGCCTGATGTGCTTTTGCATGGAGCCACTCGCCTGACGTACTTTTGCATACTGCCTTTTGACGTGTCCAGCGCTGGCGCAAAAAAACAAGTGAACTGCTTGCACCACGGTTGGCCCTGACTCCGGAGAGAGGTTGAAGGATCAGAGACGCAGTTCAATGGGTGTTGGAATGAAATAGTAAATATCGGGGGTGGACAGAACCCCCACCCTGACACGTCGATTAGTGAATTGTCCGTTTTCGGTGCTCGAGAGGGCGCCGTGGCCGTCCTTTTCCAGGCTTTCGCCCGCCAGATTTGGGCCCGAGGTCGTGTTCACTAAACCACGTTTTGCTAAAGGGGATTCTGTCCATCCCCGAAAATGGTTGAGGACATGTGGTGTACCTCGAATTGGTGGCGGCAGGCAGATGGTGCCCACCATTGGGTTGTGAAAGGCCCAGGGTGCCCCTCAGTGCCCAGCCCGTCCCGTCCACAGGTACTTCGCACCTCCCCCATACGGTGAGGAGATGGGTGGACGGGCCCCCCCCCCCCCCTGGCGTCGCACGTGCTACGCCAGAGGTGGGCGGGGATTTTGCAAAGGTCGGTCTTGATTCCCTCCCTCCCCTCCCTTCCCGGGGGCACGAAGTCCTACAAGAAGTCCCCCCAGGGAAGACCCTGCCCCTGGGAGCGCCAAAGATTTACAGCAACCTCAGAGGGGGCCGCCTGTGACAACTGTTGCCCAGGCATTCGGCTGCAAACGCCACAGGCCGGGACACCCGGACGTAGTGCACCAATGCGTTTGGCCCGCACTCCGACGATCCAATCCACATACTTAAGTGTCGGAACCTACGAAATCGCCCAAAGTAGAGCGGGTCCGGAGTCAGGGGGGTACTGCTTTTAGAGCATCGCGCCGCTTGCTCTGGCCCTCCGTGCTTCGGCGCGACACGTGGAGACGCCCCAGTCCTCAAGCACAAACGTCCAGAGCCTTTCTCAGCCTCCCGCCCCAGGAGGCGGAGCAACACGCTATCAGCTTGCAGGGCATGCCACCGCCGCGACACGCTAAGCTCGGCGGCGAGCGAGGGGGGAAATGAGAAGAAGGAGGCCTTCTCAGAGGG